CCTCAGGGGCTACAGGAGAGTCTGGAGACTCTGAAGAGGTATGTACTGCATCAAACCTCAAGTTCTTTCAACAATTAGCACTGAGTGCATTATGTGAAGTTTAAAAAAAAAGTTTGGAATAGTGGCATCCCACCTCCACCTTCCTAAAAAAAACCCCAACAACAACACATTCAACGTTTCTCAGTGGTCATTTAAAAAAAGATGGTTCAGTAGAATAATTATGATGGGCTGCTGTGGGTTGGTGGAGCCTCATAGTGTCTCTTCATGTAGAGAAAACCAATTGCTGCTCTGTGTTTCTCTGTGAATCATGAGCAGTAGAATTATTTACTCACTACTCTAATAGATCTGCTATTGTTCTGAGCTATTTTAAATAAGGGGAAATTATAACGCTTTATCCTGGAGGTGAAAAAAGATTCATTCACACAGGTTTTCCTGAATTAAATTTGTATAACTATTTATAACTTTAACTAATGCAATTATAACATAAGTTATAATAGGAGTTCAGCAGAAAGGTAAGATCCTAATATTGCACACTTCTGCTTGCCAGCAGTATGGATATAAAAGTCTCGTACCCAGGACTTCCTTTCACGTAGTGTATCTCTCTTGCATCCCCCTTGCCTCCCCATCTATAGCCCACCACAACTCTCTCAATCCTTTCAAAAGTGAGCCTACCCAGCCTATTACATTTAAAGTATGATTTTTATTACTAGAACTATTGGTAGCTATGGAAGTTTATTGCGGGTATCATCCAAATCTTTAAAAACAAGCTAAACACTGAGCAGTGCCAAAGGGGTTAATAATAGCCTGCAGTATGTTGTGTCCTACTCAGACCTCCTTCCTACTTATTCATTAGAGGCTTCACCAGGGAGAAACTGCGATTAATGGAGATCAGGAGCAGTCCACCAGAGTCCTAATTAAAGTTGCACAAGAAGCAATTACTAACATCCCCAAGGCACACTGTGATTGGGCGATAGGTGAGGGAATGAATGCAACTCCTGCCTTTTTTCTGACGCTGCTGACTCGGGCCTATAATCTGCGCAGTGCTTCTGCACTGTCCTCAAGGCAGCTACACTGCTGCCCTTGTTTCCAGAGCCCTCAGAGAAGATTCAGCTCCATGCAATGGCATTGCAGGTTTTAGATGGGAATAAAGTTTCAAATGCTTTTCATATCCCATCAAAAAATCAACTGTGTGCACCACAAAATAAAACAGAAGTGGCAGCAGCATGACAGAGAGGCGAGGAGAAATGAGTTCAGTTTCCTGGGGTTGGTCAGCTTGAGGTGAGCAAGTGAAACATTGGTTTCAGTGATGTTCCAACACTGTTAGGAGATTTCTTCCTTCCAGTCACAGGGCATATCGGGCTTAACATGATCTGTTTGAGGCTCCATAAAGGCCAGGAGCCAATACAGAGAACTACGCCTGATAGGATGTTGTTCAAAATGCAGAAATAATTTTGAGGGAAGTTATGACAAAATTATGAAAAAACATCTGAAAGGCCTTAGTTAAAACACTGTGCATTTTTAAGAGCATTCCATAAAAAAAGACATGGTTGCCCTGGAATCAGTTCGAAGGTTAAACATGAAACTGAATCTAAAAAGAACTAAAAGAAACTGAATCTCTTCAGTCACAGAAATAGATGACTGCAAGAGTCTTGGTACCGTACACGTACTGTATTTAAGCACCTGATATGTCCAGAGTCAAACACAATGTCTATCCAGGGCATCAGTTCCAAAGGTGAAACTGGGATCCAAGCACACAAGTGCAAGCTAAGTGGAAATGCATTTACTGTAGCACTGAAGCCAAGTTGTTTTTTTTTCTCAAATTCTCTAGAAAACAGATCTGACAAGATCCTTTGATCAGTGATGGACCAGATGGTCAATCTGTAACCTTTCATGAGTTCTAATGAAATTCCTACTGCTACCACAGCTCAAGATTCCTCACTCTGTCTTTTTTCAGGAAATCTTAATTGAATGGGTAAGTAGATGCAGCTAAGAGGATCTCATTAACGTAACAGTAATGAATGGAGTAAACAGCAGAGTGGAAACTGTTATTCTTGAGCGAGTTCATATACTGTACGTAGTTAGGATAAAGATGTAAATATATTATTGATCTGATCTGCTTCAGAAGCATGAATGCCACTTATCACAAAACCATGGACTGGCTCAGGCTTTCTTGCCCGGCTTTTCTTTTCTTTCTCTCTTACCAACATCAGCCAATGTTAATCACTGTTTTCAAAGGTTCATGTTTTTAGGCAACATTATGATGTGAGAGCACTTCACTTCACAGTCCTTTGTAGCCCAGTGAAGTTAATGTGTTAAACAGAGCTCTTTCAAGCAATATCGAATTAATTACTTACATTGAAGCTCTTCTGAAAGACTTAAGTCAATTATAAGAGTCTGGTGGTTCTATTATGAAAGTTAACATACGTAAAAAAAAAAGAATACCAAATCACAAAATGTGTAGAGGACTTACAGTATGCTGTTAATGATCTCTTTTAATTTGGTTTTAAGATGTGCAGAACAAATGTTAAAAACCCAGTGCCAGAAAAAAACATCTTTTATTTCATTCAAGTGCATTTAATGGTAAAACATTTGTGCCACCAATGCAGCCAATATAACAGGTCAAGTTTATTTTATGAGCTTTAGAGCGCACAGCTAAATGCAAAAACTCTGTGAACTTGACTGATTTGGCACACACATTTTTTAAGCAGAGAAAATGGAAATGTGCTGTACTTTTTGTTTCTTTCTCAGTTAAAGTCCTCTAAGGTCACAAGAACTGACCATAATTAAAGACCATAACATATTTCACGTTTCCCAAGCAAATTGTCGTGCTTTAATAAACCTCTGCAAATCACTTACAGGAATCCACAACTTGATTCTGTTATCTGTTTAATCACTTAAACCAACACAAGACATAATATCAGAGTCCCTTACACCAAGACCAAGTGTGTACAGTATGTAATGAAAAAAAATACAGTTGTTCAGAGCGGAGACCTTTATCACATCTTTTTTATGGTGCACATAAAGCTTTGTATACCCCAAAGACAAGAGGTCTGCTTATCAGCACTAATCTCGTAACACCTCTTATCATTTATTAACTGGACCAACAGAACATTATAAACTGAGCTGATTGAAAGATGCAATCAAACTTAAAAAGATCAAGGCCATCAATTATAGGACCAATGCAACCTTGATCAGTGGCTTGACATCTATATAATCAGCTGCTAAAGTTTGCCTCTAAAAGCTCTCTAAATGACACTTGTGCTTTGACCCGCAAAGCTTACTTTTAAGTGCCAGAGCAGAAGCAATGTTATGGGTTTATGGTACTGTATGTGACTGCGAACATACTGTGTACTGTATATACTAGATACTGTGTAGTATTACTAGCTCTAGTTTATTTTTTAAAGGGAAGACTGAAGTTTTCTTGTGCTTGTACACATTATTTGCAAAGTATATTTACTGTACAACCAACTTTTCTCATTTTAATGTGCACTTTACTATTTTTACTATTATGCTGCACATTGGTGGTGGTGGAGGGGAGTCCCCATTACCTGTAAAGCGCTTTGAGTGGTGTGTCCAGAGAAGCGCTATATAAGTGTAAGCAATTATTATTATAATTATTAATAATATGATATTTCTTGATGTTGCATAAATGTATATATGTCTTGTACTTGTTGGTTGTGTCCTGCCCAGGATCCTCAGTAAATTAGCTTTTTAGCTAACTGTAAGTGCAACCTAGTGCAATGTTATCCTTAAATAAAATGAGAAACAAACAAATGGATTTGAAGTCCTTACACTAAAATCAGTATTGCTTTGCTCCATAAAGTGGTCGAACACTAAGGTTCTGAAACATGTAGATAAAAGAACAGTTCAGGTCTACTATGTCCCAACATTGCCAATGAAAACCCTACTGTAGATCCACTGTTCAATGACAGATCTCCACTGGGTAAAAGTCAGAGGATTCGGGCCGGAATCCCAAAAGCTGCAATCAAGGGCTGCACTTGGAATTTGCTTTCAGTGGATAAGATGAACTTGATTTAACCCCTGCCCTAGCATAATTGTATGCACTTGCCTATTTTTCCCTTTCTTGAATTACAAACTCAGACACTATGTGTAATGAACAGTTCTTTCCGGACCCTATGCGGACGACACAGTCCGACGGAGTGGGGAAACACTGGGGAAACGTCATGCAGGAATACAGGGCAGAAGACAGGGGGGCGTGTGCAAGGTGCGCTGGTGCACGGGGGAGGCGTGGCCGAGGCGAACAATCCCAGAGAGTAATCCTTAGAGTATCCAAAACACACGAGTAAGTCCAAAACCAGGAGATCCATCAGAAGAAGGATTAAAAACCACGAAGGCCGGGTCAGAACCGGCGGACGGCGAACGGGAATGGGAACAGAGTTTAAAACCTTAACGGGACCAGGCGCTTCCAGGTCCCGGACTCGCACGATATGGAAATCAGATGCAGAGCCCGGATGAGCGTCAGCGCCTGGCTTTTGAGGTGGGCTGGGAATAGGGAACAGGTGCAGAGAATAAAGTCTTAGTGAAAGGGCTGGAGCACCCTTAAGGAGGGGGGACTATAATCGTGACACTATGCCCTTCAATATTCTCACATTATTAAGCATTACGTCATCTTGCATGTGTCCTCCCAGTTTCTTTAACACGTTTGGGAGTCTCTACAGTGTTTGTGCCAAGTCTTTAAAGATCATAAGTACGCTCGATCAATTACTCCTCATCCACCTAAAAGGTTAATTGGCATTCACACACAGGGCTGGGGGCAACAGTTTCCAAAAGAGTTAGTAATTCTGCCGAATTCACTTCGCACTCATCCTCTGCCCTTGTCTCAGAGCACACACTGCTATCAGCCCTGCATGCAAATCTCTTATTGATACATTGCTGGTATCATTCTATTAATATTAATAGTGTTCTGTCCACCTGTCACAGCTGGCAAGGGGCCAGTGGCAGGTATGACATACAGTAAATAACAGGCGTCTTAGACTTACTCCATTTAATGGGTATGTTTTCCATCCCAGCTCTCCCAGAACAGATGTGGTATCCAACAGCACCACTGGAAACAAAAGAAAAAGATCAGTGTTATTATTATGTCTTACAAAATCAAACTGCAAAAAAAAGGTCTAGTGATTTTGGTCCCCAGACAATATTATCTACATTCCTTTTCATCTGAAACAGGAAGGCTTGGTTAGTGCTTTAAATGTCGGGCATATGGCTTCTGAAAAACTGGAAATAAAGAAGATCCAAAACAATATGTCATTTTTAAGAAATAATGTAATCCAGGCTGATTACACTATTGGCTTCTATCTTAACTGTAAGAAAATGGTCAACTAAGTGGGATACAATTGTTTTTCAAAGAATGGTAATTTAAAATGCAGTCCTTACTGTGATTTTACTAACAAGTGAGCAGAATTCTGAAACAAATTTACAGAGAGAAAGGGGCCTGCTGAAAATATATACAGTAGAACCAGAAATAGAATATTATCAAAAACATGTTGCCTATGATCAAACCCATACAATATTAATTTGAGACATTTTAAAATAAGCTCTCTCTCATTTTACTTTCCTTAACAGAATAAGTTTAAATTTCATTTAACTTTCTTTTGTCTTATACATTCAAAATACAAAAAGTTCTTAAATTAGATTGAGGCAAGTTAAATCTGTGAGCTCATAAAAAAGCCTAATAGTGACACTATTTCTCTATTAAAAAGCTTTTTTTTTGCTTTTCACTATTTAAAAGATAACACTTTTTAATTTATGGATGGAGCCTTCCACAAAACTGTTGAAAATGGGGAATGACACAGGATACATCTTATACATTTGTATATTCAGACTTATTGTTTTTGACCACAATAGGTCAATATTAAAATAAAAAGCTACTTAGGTCATGTTTATCCAATGGGTAGCAGGGCTAACCTTTAGATAGAAGTTCCTTTAGATAGAAAACAGACAACTGTACTCAACAGTTTAGTATTTTATACTATCTGAAGTAACTAGAAACACACAGCCTTTTACACACAGATTTTAGATTTTGACTGGTATGGAAGCAAACAAAATAAAACACTGTTGCTGGTGATTGAAGCATCCATGAACAAATTTCACTTTGAGAATAAATCTAGTGCTTACATAATCTGCATTTTTGCCTTCAATCTATAGCTTATCTTCAAATGAAAACTCCCCCTTTCACTTTATAATTGCTATAACCCCTGCATTGCCATTTCTATACATGGGATGTGCTTTAGGTCTGTCTCTTCAATGGTATTTACCATCAAGATCACAGAGCGTTCTCAGTCAACATTATTAAAATTCACCTTAGACCTGCTTACAATGATCTCCTTGCCAATATGATACACTGCAATAACGATGACAATTTCAGTAAAAATTGTTTATACTGAAAACATATAATCTGTCAACTATCATCTATCATCTATCATCATCAACATATCAAACTATCATATAGCAAATCAGCAGTGCCCCTTGGTACAGTATAATCAAAGACGTAGATAACTCTTAATGCAGTATCATTAAAAGGGGTTATTTCAGAGGGGTCTACAAATTACTCCTAGGGCCTAGTGGGTACATTGAAATACATGACCAGTGATGATTCCTGCAAATATCCAATCATGAATGAAGTCTAACTATATACATCAGTGAGACCTGCAGAAACACAGTCAACAGAAACACCCCTCTTAACATACTGTATGTTTAAATCTGTGTTCTTCCCACAGTGCTTTTCCAGGATCAAGGGTTTAGGCTTTTAACAGTCACTCTTAGCCTTAATGTATGAGCTGCTAGACAGGCTGCAGTTGTAGCATGTGCTATTGAAAAGTGAGGTTAATTTAAGAAAATATCAGCAAATATGTTACTATCTTTTACAATTTATTCTTGCTTCCCATACAACTGCTCTTTGAACAATTAGTGAAAATTATTTCTCTGAGTACATTGGAGGTGAGAATGGTGGGAGCTGACAAATTTATATTTAACTATGAATCATTAATGTGCAACCCACTTGGGTCTGTTCTAAAGGAAAACTGTACCCATGTGCTAAGAGAGAGTTGATCACCAAGTCACTGCTCAACGTGACAGAAATCAAGAACACAAGGGAATGGAACATATGTAGGTTTGAATAATTGAAAAGCCAAAAATGAACAGAAATCTTTAGGGTACCAATTATATTTTACAGGTGTTGGTCACCTGTATTTATGTGAACATAAAGGTTTGGGAAGATATGTAAGACATCTGGGTGGCTGTGAACTCAAATCATTTTGTATGATTATCAAAACAAAACAAATGGAAACAACTTTTAGGGGCATTCATGGGTTCAGCATATAACCAGATATTCAAGGCTGGCCAGAATAAAAAAAAAAGTGGATTTTAACTGCATATCAAAGAAAATAATCAATGGATTTTCAATTTTTTTTTAGTTGTTATGTTTTAAACTTTACACATTCTGTCAAATGTGGTTCCATACAGTAGCTATTTCTGCAGTGCACTCTTAATAATAATAATAATAATAATAATAATAATAATAATAATAATTATTTTATATAGCGCCTTTAAAGGTGGCTTCTCAAAGCACTTTACAGGATGACAATAAAAATAAATAAGAAGAATACAACAATAAATAAGGAGAATACACAAGATAAGGCACAATTACAATATATAGAGGAAACCGTGGATGGTGGTATTAAGAAGAGCAGAGAGGTAAATAATGGAACCAGTAAAGTAAAGGCTTTTCTGAAGAAGAGGGTTTTGAGTTTGGATTTGAAGGAGTTTGAAGAAGGTGACTCTGATATCCTTGGGCAAAGAGTTCCAGAGCTTGGGGGCATAACAGGAGAAGGCCCTGTCACCCATACAACGTAGACGGGCTTGGGGGACAGTAAGGAGGGCAGAATTTGAAGAGTGGAGGTTGCAAGGTGGGGAGTAGGGTGATTATAGTTCTTATAGGTGAGCATGAAGATTTTAAAGTCTTCACGGAATTTGACCGGAAGCCAGAGCAAGGACTCCAGGACAGGAGTAATGTGAACAGCTGCACTAGACCTGGTCAGGAATCTGGCTGCTGAATTTTGGACATACTGCACTTTGTTCAGAGTAGATTTAGATACCCCAGCGAGTAGAGCATTTTACAATAGTCAATTCGAGAGAATGTGTTGATCAGCTTTTCAGTCCCAGTTAATGATAGCATAGGGCTAAGGTGAAAAAAATATGTTTTGACAGTATGCTGCACATGTGGGTCGAATGTTAAGACAGATTCGAATATAACCCCAAGGTTTTTCAATTTTGATTGAAGCTCAAGTACAGAGCCATCTACAGAAAGGGTTACAGGACTGGTTTTACGAAGTTGATGGGGGGTACCAATAAGCATGACTTTTGTCGCAGTTAAGATGAAGGAAGTTTTGAGTCATCCAAATTTTATGTCAGAGATGCAATTAGATAGAACAGAGACAGCCACATCAGTGTCAGGTTTGGTATGGATGTATATTTGAGTATTGTCAGCGTAAAAATGAAAGCTGAGGCCATGTGATTTTAAAAGCTGACCAAGAGGGAACATGTAAATGCTGAAGAGAAAGGGGCCCAGTATTGAGCCCTGAGGGACACCAGACTTAACAAGACCGATTTCAGACCTGTACCCATTAAGAGAGACAAAGTGACAGCGATCAGTGAGGTAAGATTTGAACCATTTTAGGGCAGTGTCAGAAACTCCAAACACAGTCTCAAGACGAGAAAGTAAGATGTTATGGTCAACAGTATCAAAAGCAGCACTGAGATCAAGAATGATGAGTATAGAAAGAGAACCAGAATCAGAAGCTATTAGAAGATCATTGGTGACTTTGACCAGGGCAGTTTCTGAGCTATGAAGTTGACGGAAGACAGATTGGAGGGGTTCAAAAAGGTTGTTTGTCATGAGGTGGTTATGTAACTGAAGTGTGACAGCACTTCTAGAATTTTAGAAAAAAAGGGTAAGTTGGAGATGGGGCAAAAATTGTTGAGATTGTCAAGAGCCATGTTAGGCTTTTTTGGCACGGGGGTAATGGCAGCAGTTTTGAGGACCGTTGGTACAATGCCAGTGCTCATGGATTCATGTAAAATATTGAGGACAATGGGACAAAGAGAAGAGAAACAGGACTGGAATGAAGTAGTGGGAATGGGATCTAAAATAGATGTGGTGGGTTTCATGTGTGTAACAAGTTTGATGAGGGATGCTGAGTCAAGAAGAGAGAAGCATGAGAGAAGGGAACCAGAGAAGTTGGATGATGAGGGAGGAGGTATGGAAATGATATGGGTAGTGGACAGAATGTGATGCCGGATGTTGTCAATCTTAGAACTAAAGAAATCTAAGAATGTGTTGCAAAGTTGTGATGAGGCAGGTAATGTGGTAGGGCAGTTTGGCTTGAGCAGTCTGTTGATGGTGGAGAATTTGTTTTGGTGATTTTCAATGATGTGAGAGAAGTAGGTGGATTTAGCAGACTCTATAGTAACCTCTCAAGTAATCTCTCAAAGCCTCTATGATGTACATATAGGATGGAAAGACACCACCTACGCTCAAGTATGCGAGAGGCTGCCTTCATGGATCGCAGATGGTCATTGTACCAGGGGGCAGGGCGAGAGAAAGAGATGGTTCGAGTTTTTAAAGGAGCAGAGGTGTCAAGGGTAGATAAAAGAGCACTGTCAAGTAACTGTATTTTGTCCTCTAGAGGGTCAGAGGAAGAGAAACAGGATAAGGAGGACAGAACAGAATTTGCAAACCTTGGGTGATCAATTGATCGCCAGTTGTGGAAATTTACAGCGCGTGGGGGGGAGGTGTTAGAAACAGATAATTCCAGATTGAAGAGAATGGCTAAGTGGTCAGAGAGGCCTAGATCAAGAGGAGAGCAGTGGGAGACAAAGGAGTCATTTGCAATAATTAGATCTAAGGTGTGTCCTTTGTTATGTGTAGGGGTACAAACAAACTGAGTAAGGTCAAAGCATCCCAAAAGAGAAAGGAAGTCTTTAGCCAGACTGGAAAGGTTGAATCGATGTGTATATTAAAGTCTCCTAGAATAAGGATTCTTTTAA